TAGATTTGTTCATTTTATGATGATATCTTCAATTCTCCAATTTTGGTGAATATTTTTGTCATTTTTGGTAAAAAGTGATATTTTCGACTTCTTGTTAAAAACTGCATGTTCAATTGCTTTGATATTACATATAGAGGTACTACATGTGGCCTTCTCTCAGATTTGTTCATTTTGTAATGATATCTTTAATTCTCTAATTTTGATGAATATTTTTGTAATTTTTGGTAAAAAATTATATTTCGACTTCTTGTTGAAAACTGCAAGTCCAATTGCTTTTATATTACATATATACATACTACATGTGGACCTCTCTCAGATTTGTTCATTTCGTGGTGATATCTTCAATTATCTTATTATGATTATTTTTGTCATATTGTTCATTTTCTAATGATATCTTCTGTTCTTTAATTGAAATGTGCATTGCTAACAGTGGAGCTATCTCAGCCAACAGGCTGCTTGTTTTTATTATAGAGTCTGATTAACCTTTCATATAAACTACATACATGTACAGTATAACAAATCTTGTTTCTACAGGTTGTTGCTCGTGGCAAAATTATACATCATGCTACCGTTGTCAGGGAGGTTGGTGTTATAACTACTTTAACTTTTGAAGTTACTCCTGAGATGTCTCCATCATCTCGTCTGATTGTCTATTACATTACTGATGCTGGTGATGTTGTGTGTGATGCTATCTGGTTGGACATAAAAGATGAATGTGAAAATAGGGTAATTATTCTATATGCTTTGATTTCATCAATATGTTTAAATAGAAGGTGATAAGTCAAATCGATAATTTTTGCTAGAATTTTGTGGCAAAACCTTTTTTTACAGTATTGCTTTTAAAATTATAGCATAACTCTGACGACTAAGGTACTAAAGGTTCAGATGACTGAATTGTAACTCACTTTCTTTAACAGACTATAGAAACATATAGCCTTGTTATAGCTTCTTATTATTTCATATTTTCAAGTCTGGTTAAAATAACATGCATTTCAAAGTTTTAATGCTTGAGTTGATAATCAAAAAAGGTAATAAAAAAAAGTCTATGTTAATAATTTTATCACGTCATTCTAATTAATTCCCAGTTAAGTGTTAGAGCAAACCGAGCTGAATATGAACCAGATAGTGATGCAGTGATTACTGTTACTGGAGATCCTGGTACTTTTGTTGGTGTCCTAGCAGTTGATAAGGCAGTGTACTTACTGAATGATGAACATAAACTTACCGCTCAAAAGGTATGTTGGTGATGGTAAAGATAACTTGATATAGGTGCTGTTGGTTTCCTAATATGAAATATGCTGCTAGTGTTCCCGGCCTATCGTAACTGTAAGTTACATATTATTGAATTCCTAGCTATAGCCATGTACAATATATAAATCTTTCCACTATCCATTGGAGAACATTGTAAGAGGTATACTTGCCTAATGACTGTCTAATTTTCTTATTTTCAAAGAAATACAGTGCAAAATAGGACTGCTCTGCAGAGTACACATTCGTCTTTGTGAACTATAGACATAATGGCCACTGAGATGAGAGAGAGAGAGAGCGACAGGACCCCCCTCAAATAGTGTTCAATTTTACACTTACCTTACCATACTTACCTTACACCCCATCGATGGGAAGATATCTATTGAAATTCTTAGGCAGCACTCAATCATTTCTCTCGTCATCTTTGTTCACTGTTTCTTACCATTGTTGTTCCATGCCATAAATGTTGAGTGGGACAGTGGACGGAATGGTATAAGAGACTAGGTCACTGTTTGAAAAGCAAACACATGTCTTCTTGCTCTTCTTTTTTCAACAAGAACTCGCGGTCATTTGCCTCTAAGGGCTATTGACAGGGTTTTTAAAAAAATGTCCTTAGGTTTATGGAAAAGTTTTTAAAAACTCTCCCCCATTTATTTTGTATGAATTCATTTCACTAATCTGTTGAAATAGGATTGGCATGCAATCTCTTTGCTCCTACCAATTGCCAATGCAAAAAATGTGTACAATCAAGTAGAGAAATGAACATACATGACATACAGAAAGGGGAGTTATTGATTAGAATTTATCAAATTTAAATTTTAGCATTTTTCATGTTGTGTTTTCTTTTTAGATGTTTCAAAGAATGGACAAATTTGATCTTGGTTGTGGGCCAGGTGGTGGTAGAAATGCCAAGGAGGTATTTGAGGTAAGAATACTAAAATATTTATTCTGCTTTCATATATTCATATAATAACAAAAATAACAAATACTTTTATCATATTTTAATAAAACAAATCAATTTAGGCTAAAATTTAATAAATGTAAAAAACAAATACAAGATAATGAAAAATCATATACATGTACATGTATTGTGGTAATGTTTTAGTGCAAAAGTTGACTGTGAATGTATATTTGGAATGTGTGGCTAGCCATGTATTATTGTAACAATTTTGCTCTAGCTCCTTAATAGCATGATGCGTGAAACTGATTATTCAATATTTGTTGGTAGTAGTGTATTTCTTAGAAGAGCCAATCTATCCATGTCAAAACAAAAACAGATCACACTAGGCTTTTTTATTCATACATTATAGATGTGACGACAGTATTCCACACTTTAATGGCTTGATGAGCAGCTGCCTCCAACTCAACTATGTATGACAAATTTTGAAATATGGGATTTAGTTTGTAGTTAACAGTGATTCTTAGGAGAATACACAGTTAATCTTTATCACTGTGGAAAAAGAGTTGCTCAGTGGTGAACTGTATGATAAATCTTCTCTAAATTTCCAAATGCATTTAATTTTACCCACTATACTTTAGAGGTTGTTTAAGTCATGTAACCACACAAAAATGTCAAAACAGCCTGTCACACAACTGAACTCCTGCACTGATATTAACCTTTCCTGTTCTTCTTGTAGGATGTTGGTCTGTTAGTGATTACCAATGCTGGCTTAGAAACTGAGAAGAGGGAAAGTAAGTTTATATACTGTAGAATACTTTATTTCCGCTTGGAATTAATTTTCGCTATTTTCGCTGAAGGAATGATTCTGTGAAAATAAAATCCAGCGAATATACTTTGTTTCCTATATTTCACATTCAACTCATCAAAAATCAGTGAAAATAAATTCCATACAAAACACCCAAAAAGTCTTTTCAGCGAAAATTAATTCCAGCTAAAATAAGTATTTTACAGTACTTTAAACCTGATGGTAGTTATATTATTGTGTGCTTTTTATTTCGTTTCCCTATACA